CTCAGAGACTCTTTTCCCCAGGACCAGGTGCCGACCCACTACTAGGGGGAACACAAACCTACCTCGCTTGGGACCACCCTCGCTTCCAAGAGATACCAGACGATGCCAGATTGCAGCCTGTACTGGTCAGGCCGCTTGACGAGGGGGCGCGTGGTATGGCTTGGTTTTGCCTGGAAGCGAAAGCGGGATAGGTAATTCACGCTCTGAATTACAGCTTTCCACTCACTGTACTTGACCTAGGGAAGGTTCGTGCGATCTGCTCATAGGTTTGGGTCCAAGATCCTGCTGAACGGCGGCTGCGGCCCCAGACCTCCGACGTCTTGCGTTCTTCCATGCGCCCCCCTCCGCCTCCCAAAGTTCAAAGCCCAGAGAATCCGCGACTGGAATAGTTCGGTAACGGGTTTCGGTCGGGCCAAATTTTGGTCGCGCCCAGAGGAGGTGGAACTTCAGTACCTAACGAAAAGACGGCGCGTCGGGGTTCAAGCGAGGGTTTCGAAGACCTTGACGGCTCGCTCGTCACCGGAACTCGCGACCAGAGCACCCAGCCCCAGCCTCAGTTCCAGCTCCAGACACAGCTCCAGCTCCAGCCGAACTGCTGCCCAGGCTCTGGATTCAGCTCCAGCCCAACCGAGGCTCAGCTCCAGCCCCAGCCCAGCTCAAACTCCAGCTCTGGCTTCAGCTCCAGCGCAGCTCCAGCTCCAGCTCCAGCCTTGCGTTCTCGAACGTCATCGCTTTCAGGCTCTGCATGTTATCAATATTGCACAAGCCATGCTGTATAGCTCAGACTTCGCAGCTGAGACTGCCCAAGATAGATCGAGTAACCCAGATGTCGTATACCCCGAGTGACGTATACAAGCTTGCATGCTCCACATTATCACATTTCACAGCAACGTTTGAGAACAGACAAACAAACACACACACACAAAAAAAAAAAAAAGTTGCGTGGAGTGAACGGGGCTCTTACTTACAGGTGTGTTCCAAGTGCGTCTCCAGTCATGGTCCTGCCAAACGCGGACTCGCGAGAACCCCCAAAAAAGACCGGGAATCTTCATCGGGCCATCTGACGGCCCAGGAACCCAGGCGCGGCCCCTAGACGCTGAAGGACCTCCGCCTCGAGGACTCCAGGACGTCCTCCTGGGCGTCGCCCTTCTGGGCGGCGTCCTTCTGGGCGGCCTCCGCGGCACCGTCCTGCCCGGGGGGCGCGCCGAGCCCCATCTGGCCAAAACGAAACCTTCAGTGACAACGACCTGGGACCAGGCCCCAGCGAGCGCAAGCACCGTAAAACAACGCGGCCTTCTCCTTTGGACGCCCGAAATGGGTACGGAAAGAATGGACACAATGACCAACAGCAAATGTTGTCCCAAACCAACATCGGGGATGGACAGACCCCCCTTTAGCAAAACGTGGTTTAGTGAAAACGACCTGAGGCCCAAACTTGGCGGGCGCAACCCTGGAAAAAGACGGCCACGGCGCCCTCTCGAGAACCGAAAACGGACAATTCACTAATCGACGTGTCACTGTTGGGGGTTCTGTCCAGCCCCGACAACAACGGCCGCTGTTTGGCAGGCGGCCTTCTGTCTCAAATGGACACAATCCGCGGCGGCGCCGACAGTGAATCCTGGTCAAAACTGAACAAGAACTGCTGTCGGTCTTTGTACCCATCCTTTCCGTACCCATGTCGGTCGTCCCGATGTTCTTTCCCAAGGCATGAAGGCGCAAGTCCGCCGGCCCCCTTGTGGGGCCACCAGGCTGTGGGACGAGGGTTTGCTGATCCCTGCGCCAATTCCAGTTTCCAGTTTCCACTGCTCAGTTCTGCTTCTTGTTGCTTACTGTTCCTTGTTGTAGACCGCGCGAGGGGGGGGGGCCGAAAACCGGCCTGGTTAGCACCTCCCGTGAGGGGTCTCAGAATTTCTTGGGGGTCGAAATTGACACCCCTCACGCAGATCGCCAGGGTCAGGCTCCAAAAACACAAAGGATTTGCCACATTTCTGAAATTCGGTGGCACTCCTCATGCAGATCGGCGGGGTCAGGGTCCAAAAACACAGAAAGGATTTGCCACATTTCCGAAATTCGGCGGCACCTCTCACGCAGATCGGCGGGGTCAGGGTCGAAAAACCAATGAGATTTGCCACATTTCTGAAATTCAGCGGCGCCTCTCACACAGATCGGCGGGGTCAGGTTCCAAAAACACAGAAGGATTTACCACATTTCCCAAATTCGGCGGCACTCCTCATACAGATCGGCGGGGTCAGGGTCGGAAAACCAATGGGATTTGCCTTATTTTTCAAATTCGGTAACGCCTCTCACGCAGATCGGCGGGGTCAGGGTCGGAAAACCCATGGGATCTGCCACATTTCTGAAATTCGGTAACACCCCTCACGCAGTTCGCCAGGGTCAGGGTCGAGAAACCAATGGGATTTGCCACATGTCTAAAATTCTGTAACACTCCTTCTGCAGATCGGCGGGGTCAGGCTCTAAAAACCGATGGGATGTGCCACATTTCTGAAATTCTGTAACACTCCTTCTGCAGATCGGCGGGGTCAGGCTCTAAAAACCCATGGGATGTGCCACAGTTCTGAAATTCGGTAAGACTCCTTATGCAGATCGGTGAGGTCAGGCTCTAAAAACCAATGGGAGTTGCCACATTTCGAAAATTCGGCGGCACCCTTCACGCAGATCGCAGGGGTCAGGGTCGAAAAGCACATGGGATTTGCCCTATTTCTGAAATCTGGCGGCACCCCTCACGCAGATCGGCGAGGTCAGGGTCGAAAAACCAATGGGATGTGCCACAGTTCTAAAATTCGGTGCCACCCCTCACCTGGGATTTGCCACATGTTTGCAATTCGGCGGCACCCCTCACGCAGATCGGCGGGGTCAGGGTCGAAAAACCTATGAGATGTGCCACATTTCTGAAATCCGGTAGCACCCCTCACGCAGATCGCCAGGGTCAGGGTCCAAAAGCACAAAGGATTTGCCACATTTCTGAAATTCGGTGGCACTCCTCATGCAGAACGGCGGGGTCAGGGTCCAAAAACACAGAAAGGATTTGCCACATTTCCTAAATTCGGTGGCACTCCTCATGCAGATCGGCGGGTTTAGCGTTGAAAATTATATCGGATGTGCCACATGTCTGGAAATTGGGTGGCACCCCTCACGCAGATCGGTCGGGTCAGGGTCAAAAAACATATGGGATTTGCACTATTTCAATATTTCGTAGAAAAGTTTTTTGCACAGCATACGCGAGCAAGCTCGAAATACAACACCGAATTCAACAATATTATCATAATCTCAACTTGTCTTGCCGATTACTCATCGTCTTCGCGTGAAGTCCCGACGCTGCTTCACGGCGGCGCCAAGGCCTCATGATTTCGCTCTTGCAGTGCCCATTCTCCGAAAGATGGGGCCGGCGGCAGGGGGCGAACGAAGCCCTTACGGATATAAAACAGATGAAGCAAACCAGGCACTAATTAGTGCAAACTCGGTAGGCGGTCGCCTTTTTTGAGCCAGTTTCGACCCAGAGTCGAGAATCGAAGAAGAGCAATTCGCCAATCTAGAGGAACTAGGAACTGCAAGCAGAACTTCCCAGAAATTGCGCGGATGTCTTGGATCGGCGCTGAGACCCCCCTCCCTGGCGCGCGGAGCACGCCAGGGGGGGCGCCGGAGGCGCCGCAAGGGGGGGCCACGCGGATCCAAGAGGTCCGCGCGCACCTCCAGGAACGTACGGCTATGCCATGTTCTGCTCTTCGCCAGTCGACCTGTCGGGGTGGGGGCCCTGTCGACCTCCCATCCTCTAGCGAACCACATTTATGAAGGGGCCCTGGGAGGGCCCTGGGACACACAAATAAATACACACAAACAAAACTGTTCCCCATAGTTTCCCATATCTTCTGGGTTTTTGTCTTCCCCCCCACTTCCCATAGTTTCCCCTATTTTCTGGGGGATCGACGATTAATTGTGTCTGTGTGTTTCGTTCCCTCCTGGATTTCGCAAGACACCCTCTGTTGAGAACGACCCGGGGCCAGCCCCCGCGAGCGCAGGCCCGCACCAACGCCCACCCCCCGAGAACCGCCGGAGGGGCACCTCGCCAGTCTCGGCGGCGAGCCCAGGGGGCTCCTCCTCCTCCTCCTCCTCCTCATCATCCTCCTCCTCCTCCTCCTCCTCCTTGCCCCAATCGGTGGCGGGAGTTTCGGCCGCGCTTTCCAGTCAGCTTCTGAACGAAGCGGAGACTGAATCGCCCAGGGGGGCAGGCGAGAAGGCCGCGCCCATCGCACGTGCCCCGTGGGCTCGCCGCCGACAGTCGCCCCGACGGAGCGGTGGCCCATCCTTCTGGGCCACGCTGGCGATTATGAAGGGGCCCTGGGACACACAAATGAATACACACAAATAAAAAGAATCCCCATATTTTCCCATATTTTGGGGGTTTCTGTCTGCCCCCCCACTTCCCATATTTTCCCGAATCTTCTGGGGAATCGAGGATTCATTCTGTCTGTGCGTTCCTTGTCCTCCTGAGATTAACAAAAACCAAAGAGGGGCACGCACCCCTCTCCTCCTCCTCCTCCTCCTCCTCGACCTTTGCAGGGGCACTGCGCTCTTCGCCAACCGACCCTGACGGGCTATATGAGGGGTTCTCCGTCGACCGCAGCTCCTTCCGGGGAACGGCCGCGGCGCCGTCCGGGCGGGCGGCGGCGCCTGCTGGGATCGATGTGTGTTTTGCTAAGCGCTTGCGTTCCATATAATCATGTATAATATGATCTATTTGCTTTATACACATATTATAAGTTGTTGCAAGTGCTGCAAGCTATATATATATACCATATACATGTTGCGGACCGTGGTTGTAAACAGGCCCATGGTGATAGCGACCTTAGGCACGTGACCTTTCCTCCGAGCTGTTTTTACGAACCATCTTACCGTAAACGAGCGAACAAGCATAACACCCTTACCATCCTTCTTATCGGGCTTAGGGATCTTGGTCCGAATATGTTTGTATAGATTTCGAAGGTAGAACAGATCTGAGTTAGTAACCACGGTGGCCAAGTTTACTAAGTAGGTTGGCCAGAGAGCATGTGATGCGGCTGTGACCATATGCGCACACATATTTTCAGATCTTGTTCACATATTTTCAGTTGTTGCTCGCATTTGTTATTATTTCCGCTGCCATTTCTGATCAAACTTCGCGTCAATTTGATTTTGTGCGCAGGTGTGCACGCCAGCGCTGACGTGAGTGCATGATCCGCCATGGACCACCCGACTCTGCAGGCGAGCTTGGCGAAGGTCGCTCCCTACATCAATGAGACGATCGCAAAGTTCAGAGATGGCGACTGCGAGGCATTGAAAGCGAAGTCCCACGAATTGATAGAGCAGTTGTTGGCCAATGATCTTGCGGTCAAGGAAGTTCACGATTGCAGAGAAGTCGGCGTTCATTGCGACAACAGAGACGGCATTGGGATTGAAGTTCCCGGTGTGCACGTTCTCATTCAACGGATTTGCCAGGCGGGCTGGGACCCGAGGGTCCCGACAGCGATTGCGTTCGAGCGGCCTGACGGCCCGCAGGGCAAGAAGATGATGGATTTCAACTTGAAGCTGATCGCCGACAGCGACGGGCACCTCGCGCCTCTGATCGACCATGAGGTCAAGATCTTCTCCGTGAGCTCGTCCCACACGGTCGCGGGCCACCGTTGCGTTAGGATAGTTGGGTCGAAGTGCTCAGCCACCTTACCTTGGCCAATCCCCATGCAAAAGGGCGCCTCGGAGCGCGAAGGTAATCGCGCTTCGCGCTCGGCGGCCTCGGCTGGCGCGAAAACATCGACGACGACGATGACGACGACGAAAACTATGACGACGACGACGCTGGAATGCACGACATCCCCCTTCTTCGAGGAGTCGGGCGTGGGGGGGAGGGGCAGGTGGTCGAGGCGGTGGCAGATCATTTCGCCCAGGCATGGATCTCTTACTACGTTGAGCGACACTTTCTCCACTGACTCGAAGCTTGCAGCCGAGAAGATCAAGCAGAGGTTTCCAGCCTACAGGTCTCCGCTGGAAGATGGGATGACCTGGGTTGTGATCAGGCGCCAGGTGGAACAGGCGTGCCCTCAGCTGCCAGACTTTATCCAGGCTTCCGAGAACGCAGGGCACGGAGTTGAACAGGCTGCCTCGAAGCTGCAGGTGATGAAGCGCATTCACAGTCGCGCAACCGCCAACCAGAAATCGTCGGGCGAGCCATGCTGGGAGAGGATTGCGCGATCGATCGAGCAGCAGTCGCACCACATGGCTGGTCAAGCCATGGACGTGTGTCATTTCGTGAAGGCCTACAGTGGCGGCGACCCGCCAGTGCATTTGAACGACCTCGACAATTGGAGCAAAACGTTGAAGTGGAGGCGGGATATTCACGGCAGCACTTTCAAGTTCTTAGCCGCCACGCCGTTCAGTCAAGGACCTGAGTATATTTTCGCTGTACTCAAAGCGATGATGGTAGCGCCAGAACAAGCCGTCAGAGATGGTTTCTCCAGGCTTTTCACCAGCACGGACGTCGCAGCAATCGTCGGCTCGAAGAAGGGCCTTGCCATCAAGATTGTCACCTACATCCGCGCGGGCCGTGAGTGGCTGGACAAGAGCTCGATCCCGCCCTCCAAGAAGCTCAAGATCAGGGGCGACTTCGAGGTGGCAGCGGTCATGTTCGCGCACAACAAGAAGGCGAAGGGCCGCCCGATCTACAACAACATTGAGGACGTTGCGGCGAGCTTTATTCAGGCGGCGTTCGACGCGGACCCTGAGCTCAGGAATAGCACCCTGCCGTGGCCGCACAAGGAGACGCCCGCGGTTGCGCGGGCGACGGGCAGCTCCATGGTGCAGTTCGGCGGCGAAGGCGTTGGACCTGAGACCCTCGAGCAGTGCGGCATCCAAATCGGCTCCGAGCTCGAGCTGAAGATGAAGGACAGCGACGAGAGCAAGGGCAGCAAGGACACGTTCAAGCTCGTTGCCATCAAAGGCAGCACGGCCACGCTCGAGAAGGTAGCCACTGACAAGCAGCGCAGGCAGGCCAAGCAGCATGGCGAGGGCAAGGTGACCATCAGCATCGGCCAGCTCGTGGACGAGTACAAGGTGGCATGTATTGAAAACTGCAGGCGTTGTTTTAGTTGGCGTCTCGAGCGAGAGCGTCATTTTGGAAGATACGTCATATTCTCGACGC